GTTTTTTATGATTAGTACTTATCTAAGCGATGTTACAGTATGTGAAGTAACTATAAATAAAAGCAAATTGTAAATCTTTTCGTGATTTAAAATTAAGAAATGGTTTAGCTCTGTATAATATTCCAATAGTTTTTAAAAATTTCTTTTCAAGACTGTTTATATGAAAATTCCATCATAAATTTTTATTCAACTCCACGCCTAAAAAGTTTACCAAAGATTTCTTTTTGATAGGGGTCATCCATAAAGGACGTCACACTCTTCTGGTTAGTATTTAAGTTCTGAACGACGTCCTTTAACTACGACCCCATAATAGTTTTGTTTATAATAAAATTTGTTAGTTTCAATGGGGTTTTAGCAATTTTATTTGATTTATGGAAAAGTATAAATTTATTTTTTTCAGCATTCAGAGAAAGTAACTTAAACACCATTCAGAATCTTTTTCTAATTGTTCATTAACATGTTTAAAAAGTATTTTAATGTGAATGAAAAAGATTGGAATCATTAGCAAATAGAATTAAATTTATAAGATTTGATGATAGATGTAGATCATTTATGTACAGTAGAAACAATAATGACCCTAAAACCCTGACGAACCCCATAAGTTATTGAATGTTTACCTGTTACTTTTAAATCATAGCATATAAATTGTTTTCTGTTTGTTAGGTAGTTTTTGTAAACTTTTCTTCTTATTTCAAAATAAATTTTTGCTTCTAATTCCATAGTTTTCAAGTTTAGTTAGCAGTATATCATGATTTACTGTATCAAAGGCTTCAGACAGATCAATGAAACTCCTAATGTAAAATAATCGTTGTTTAGAACTTCAGATATCTTGTTGACTAGCTCAACAACGGCGTGTTCAATTGAATGCATTTTTTGAAACCGAACTGTTTTTTATACAGCATGTCGTTCTTTGTTAGATAGTCGTAGAGTTTATTGTACATTATACGCTCAAGTATTTTAGAGAAACAAGGCAAGATAAAAATGCTGTATAGTTTGAAATAAGAGAGTTATCTCCTCTTTTTAAAATAGTGTAATTCGGGCAATTTTTAAATTATTATGAATAATACCCGATTTTAAAGAAAGTTTAAAGACATGAAATAACGATGGCTCAATGTCATCAAATACAGGTTTACAACATTGACGCTAATTTTATCAAAATCTGTACTTTTATTTTTTTAAGGCTGTTAAAAGCATCTTATAATTCGCAAATTTTAAGATCAGTTTTGCCAATTTAATTACTAAACCTTTTTAAATAAGAATTCAAACCTGATGAGCTCAAAGGAATTGTTTCAGCCAATTTTGACCCAATATTAACAAAAAAGGTGACAAGCTTCTCAGCAATAGAATATTTTTCATAGAATAAATTTCCATTTATTAGAAGTTTTTTTGGTAGAGTATTTTTCATACTTTTGTTTTTTCCGATTATTTCAATAATAACATGCCATATATTTTTTGGGTGTTTTCATTGTTTTTTCTAATAATTTTGCGTAATAAATTTTTGTTTTTTCAAAAAGATTTTTGTATATATTATCGTTTTCTTTTTTTAAAAATTTATCATACAACTTTTGTTTAGTTTTTGAGGAATTAAAAAGGCCTAAGGACATCTACGGAGTTTGAAGAGAGTTGGTTTTTATCATAAACATTTTTTCCCGGCTCTTTCGTATAACTTGCAGAACTTTTTAAGAAATAAGTTGTAAAAGTTATTAAAGTTAAATTAACATAAATTTTCAACTAAAATTAATAAATTGCGACTCTTAAATAAAATGCCAATTAACAAGCTTTAATTTTCCCTAATCAAATTAGTTTCAATTAGTTTCAATTGGTCCAGAAATTTTTCAATTATAATTAAGCTTAAATTTTTCAATATTTTCTCGATAATAGATGTTTTACAAAAATGATTTTAGTCAAATTTAATTTCAATAATTAACACAGTTCTTGCCATTCGTTGGTTTATTTCTATATTATAAAATATTTGGTTTGACTTGAATCTATTTTACTTAATTTCCTTTGAATAATTGGTAACCAGCTATTTTATGTTTAGTAGCTCTTTTTTCAAAATATTGTCTGATAGTATTAATGATACTAAAATTAACTAAAAAAAAATCATTTTCTCTATAGACAACATTCTAAAATTCTACTAAAAATGTATATAAAATGTATTTGTTAAACCTTCAACTTATAAATGTGTTGTATCTTTGCATAATGTAAATACGTTAAATCTTTAATATATATGTTATAGATAAATATTTTTACTTTTTAAGGTTTCGATGATAAGATCCTTTTGATCTTCTTTCGAAAACCTAGTTTTATATTGTTAGTACGCTGGACTGTATCATTTACGTAATTGTATTACAACTTATGTATTATGTAACACGACTAACATTGTTAAATGAAAAAAAAAAAAAATCACCAATACTATATAAGTATATATGTGTTGATGTGTCATCGGAAACAGAGATGTCTTTTGAATATTAAGTTAAATCTTTAGAGATTATGCTTTCATCATTGTTAAATTCTTCGTTTGTTATATTATACAAAATGTTGCATTTAGCGGAGCTTTGCTAGGGCTTTTATAAAGGCTAGAACCATCAAGAATATTTATAATAAAAATTGTAAACAAAGCCGATATAATAAAAAATATAACATAAGGATTTTTAAAAAAATTTTTACGGTATGGTTTTATTGCACATAAAACTTTATAAAATATCAATTATAATATATAACAGGTGTTATAAACTATATATCGAAACTAACTAAAAAACAACAACAACCAGATAATTAGATTTTTTAAACTTCCTGAAATTGTAAAATGTAACAAAAGAAACTTGTTCAATTCCGGTTAATTTTTAATTAACTAAAGATGGAGAATTTCATACAACATTAAACTAAGTTGTTCATTCAGTATGTGCTTTGGTTAACTTTAGTAGTATTTAATTAGCAAATAATTTAAACAATAACTTAAAAACAATATTAAACTGTACATATGTTTACGAGATTAACTGAACAAAATATCATTTTATCTAAATCTTCTTTTTAAATGTATATTCAGGGGCGATTCTACAATTAAAATGAGTGGGGAGGGGGTGAATCCTCAAAAAGTACCGACTGGCTTTAAAAAAAAAAAAAAAGTCCTCAAAACGAAAATTTAACTACTGAATTGTGTCGAATACCCGACTAAGTTCGTGAAAAAACTGACTATAACTTGAAAATCAGCTTTTTCGAGTGTAAAATCGCCTCAGTGTGTATAAATATAATATATAAATATAGTGTATATAAATATAATGTTAAATACCTGACTAAATTCGTGAAAAAACTGACTATAATTTAAAAATCAACATTTTCGGGCGTAAAATCGCCTCAATGTGTATAAATAAAATATAAATAACTTTTCTTCTCTCTCTCTCTTATCATTTTTGTTCAACAATTAATAAAGTTTTTTTTCTCAACATGCATTTTTTCTTTACTTTTAGAACGCTTGTTTAAATGTATAATATCCCTAAATATTTTTTTTTTGTCTCGAAACCATTTATCTTTAGCGACTTTTAACTTTTACAATGTACTGTTTTAGATTTTTACATTTCAACAGTTTTATCAATACAAAATAAAACTACAGCGATGTGTAGATGCTTCAGCGAGAAAATAACATTTTTAGTAAAAAAATTACTAAATATCTTATTTAAACGCTTCCATGATTTATAGGTCTTCATATCTTCAAACGTATAAGAACTTGGTGAAAATAATAGATAATTTAATAAATCAGTGTAAGCTACAGCCCATAACGATACATGAGTTTGACTCTTATATTCCTGTAGGGTTTCTTCTCTTTTTGAAAGCTTTCTTTTTATAAGAAAAAATGTTATAAAAAATAAAATGTAATTAATAAAGCTGATATTATTGTGTTTTAAGTATTAAGAAATCTTAAATATTTCAATTCTTACATTGTCTCTAATGTTTTTTTTTTAAATTTTGTTGCTCAATAAAATAGATAATATTCAATAAATAATTTTTTAATACAACTTTAAGTTATTGTTAAATAGTTTCTAAATTTTTAGGAAAAAATTAGTGAAAAATGTGTTTCGGTATTAGAAGTTTCCACACTGATTACTAGTAATATAACTATAACGTACAGATACGGTCACATAACAGTTACTGTTTCTGCGGGAGAGTGCTTTTGTTTCTAGCCCCCCTCCCCATCCCACTTTTTTTTTTTAAAAAAAAATCTAGATAAAAATGACTTTTTTTAAAATTGAAAATTGTGTTCCTTCATTTTGAAAGTCTTTATTGTTTTAGAATTTGGAACTAAGCAAGTGTCTATGTGCCTTTGTACAAGATTTGTGATCCTATCTGAGTTTAAAGGTAGTGCGACATTTCTTTAATGTAAATTTAGTAAACAAACTTGATATTGATTTTAGAAAAATAAAAAAAATCTTGATTACTATACCACATTGTTGTTAAATATTATAGTGATATTGGTACTAAAACCTAATTACAAATGGTTTTAAAATTAATACCGTAAACAGTTTGTTTACTTTTTTATCCTCCCTTAATGGCTCCTCTAGATTGAGTCACGTGACCCATGGGAATACTCTTTAGACATTTAAATATGCGCCTATTTACATTTAAAATACCCTGTATAGAGTTTTTAAATATAAATGGGCAGCTAGAACAAGTAACCGCGTAAATAATTATTGATTGTGTTAAGGGCAGTAAATTATTTACTGCCCTTGACACCACCAACTTCTTCAATACCCTTAATTTTAAAACTTTATGGGAAATCAAGCAGAACTACGGAGGACGATGTAACTCTATGGAACTATTAATTTGGGAATTCGCAGCAAAAAACGAAAACCTTTTATTAATTATAACCATGCTTTTAAAATAAAACTACCGCGGTAACATTAAAAATATTAATACTAATAATGTGATCGAATATATTTACTATATTTTCTTAGGGGATTTCTTTGCATATTATATAACTATTAAAATAAATGTGCAACCAATTAAACGCGTATATTTATGTATTTACATACAAGCCTTTGCACAAGAGGTAGCTACACGATAAAAGATGCATTCTTATAATTTATTTTATTAACGCCTTGGTTGTAATGGTTGTTGGCCTGCACCACTTCCAGGACCTAACAGTATCTAAAAAGAAGAGAAAAAAACCGTTAAAACCTTTTATAAATAGTAAATAAAATGAATATTTAACTTAAATGACCTTGCATAGTATTTATAATTATTACCTAATTAGTTTATCAATTAAATACCGAATAAAAAATATTTTAATGCTGAAAATATAGTGAACTCCCGATAACTCGAACTCCCGAGGGACGAAGGAAAACGGTTCGACAAAACGAATGTTCGATTTAAGCAAACTTATTCTTGCATTCGAGGGACTAAAGAAAACAGTTCTAGATAACAAAAGTTCGAGTTAACCGGTGTACGATTTACCGGTAATAAACTGTATGGAGGAGTGTATGAGAGTGGGGGAAATGTTTTTACAATTAATGTGGGCTTTTACAATTTTTTTTTTTTGCACGATACCAAGTTGCTCATATTGTTTTCAAATTAGGTTAGTGATTTCTTAACTGGGAGACGCTGAGCATTGCGAAGAGAAAAGCGAAACCTTTTTAAATTTGGAAATATTTTTACGTTCAAGCAATTTTTGGTGCCCCAAAACTTATAAATTTGATTTTTATAAATCTACTTTTACAATTATATTATAAGATTTTAATTGATTTTTTTGTATCATGTCGACGATTTTGTGAATTAGTAGAAAATTTTTTTTAATTTAATTTTTTTTAAACATTTATTAAGAACCGTATAAAAACAGAGATAATAAAAACAGAGAAAAAAACGCAAAAAAAGTGAAAAAAGTGCTTTAATTCTGATGACAGATAAAGGTCCAGATAGATTTTTTATGTTACAATGTAAGTATTTTTTATAAAAAATTTCTTTTTATAAAACCAAACTAATAATTTGTTACAAAACACGAATAAAACTAGAGTCCTTGGCCTGGCCTTAAAGCTAAAAATTGAGGCCTTGGCCTTAAAACTGTTGGCCTCGCCTTAAAATAAAATACTTATTTTCTTATTGATTTTGTTGAATTATGCGCATAACCATGGTCTATTTTTACAAAATGTGGTGTTATTGTCACAACACTTGCTATATACAGTTTTGCTAATAATTGGCCTTAACGTAAGACAAAAATTGAAGTGTTTAGTCTTGAAAATGTTTGTGTTTGGTCTTGAAAATGTTTGTGCTTTGGCATTGAAACTTTTAATCTTGGCATTAACCTTAAAACTTGTAACGTGTGGCCTTGGCCTTGCTACTTTTGGCCTTGTTAACAACTCTAAATAAAACTAATTCTAGCGTGGCTTGCGGTCCAATGCACACTTTCTAACAGCTGTTTTATAATAATTAAATAGGATATACCCTGATTTAAGTTTTATACTTTGGTGAGAAATAAACCAAAAGCTCGTTTTCGACAAATCGAGATTTACTTGGTATGCGATTTTTAAAGCCTGTTTACACTGAAAGTTTTTGTTTTTATCAGTGACTAGTGATCGACCGAAATTTTGGCAAATATTTTACCGAAACCGATACTGACTAGCCGAAACCGACATTTTGGCAAATATGTTACCGAAACCGATACTGACATTTTGGCTAGTCAAAATTAATTTCATTAAACCTGTATTCTGTTAGAACTTATTCACAAATTGAGATTAATACATAAGTTGGCGATATAAGTTAATAGCGAAAGTTAACAACTAGCAGATTTTCTCTGCAAAAAAAGATTATTTCGAGGTATTTTGTGAAAATTCTCAAAAATAACTAATTTTCTTAATTAGATAAAAATTTGAAATCTTACAAATTTGTCGGTTTTTGGTATGTTTTTTAAACTGAAATTTTGCTTTTTAGCGAATTAATAAAAAATACTGAAACCGAAATTTCGGTATCGGTTTAAATTGAAATTTCGGCCGAAACCGATACCGAAACAGAATTTCGGTCGATCACTATCAGTGACTGAAATAAATATTTTATATTTTTGGCCGGTTTTCTCTGATTTTTGTTGTCGTTGTAAATAACAAATAAAAATCATAAACGGGAGGGTTTGAATAAGCTTGGGGTGGGTGGGAAAATTTTCCAAACTATTAAACGTCTTCCCCTCTTTTTTTTAATTTTATTTTTTTGCCAAGCTAGTATCAGATCTTAGACTTAGATTCAACCAAATTGCAATTCCAGTTACATATTAGGAGGGAGGGGGAGGTGTCCTAAGTTAAATAATTTGCATACGAGTGCATTTGTGTGTGTGTGTGTGTGTGTGTGTGTGTGTGTGTGTGTGTGTGTGTGTGTGTGTGTGTGTGTGTGTGTGTGTGTGTGTGTGGAGAAAAGGATTCAACAAACGTACGTACGCAAACGCAAAAAATTTGGTGGCAAACGCAAAAAATTGAGGAGGCATGTCACGTTCATTTGCCCATCTATAAAAGGTGAATGCCATATACGTTCATGGCCTGTTAAGGTTATAAAAGTTGAAGAGCACAAAATATAAAGTGATCACGTTCGCCAGCGTGAATGGAAAAAATACGAAAATAATTTTAAATAAGTTAACATTAATGTTAACTTATTTTTAGAAATTAAACTTACTAATAATTAATATTTTAATAAGATTAAAACCACACTTTGAAACAATTAAAACAATGTTTTAATTGTTTTAAAGTGTGGTTTTAATTTTCGAAATTTTAATTCGAAAATCAATTTTTTTTTGAAATAAAACCTTCATAATGCAGAAGCTTATAAAGATATGGCTTATATAGACATTCTAATTCAAAAAGTTGTTTACATCAACAAAGAAATATTTAAAAAAACAAACCAGTTTTTTTAAGAAAATGGATAACACTGATAGCGCCAAAACAAAAAAATATAACTTCAGACATCTCAAAACTGAATGAACAACTATTAGCTTTGTATGGGATTCGAGATGCTGGATTGATGACTGAAGACCTGAAGTTGAAAATCAATACTGTCGAAATGGATATTAAAAAGAAAAAGAATCAACTGAAAAGGTCGGAAGGTGAAGCTGATCGTTAACGCAAGCGTCGTAGCAAAATAAAGCACACTCTGCAGGAAACAACTGATTAAATGCCACATCTGGAGTCAAATCTTCGACAGTTCAAACGCGATATGGTTGGCAGACCAGCAGTTACAGTAGATCAACCAGATCTATTATAGATGCAGTAGTCAGAATTGCTTCAACTGGTGCTGCAGCCAGTGACCGTCGTCATTCCGAAACGTTGAGATCATGCAAAACATTGGAATGATTTGAAAATCATTCCAATGATTTGATCACTGGTGGCACAAGTATACTGTTTGTCACGTTCAGCAACGTCTTTCCAGCTCTTATTCGTCAGTTGAAGGCAAGCGACACATTATTACAGAACTATTCGTCAGTTGAAGGCAAGCGACACATTAAGATGGTGCCCGTAACAGCTTACGAGCACCATCTTAATTGGATCCGTGCAGAACACTGGCCATGATCGTCATCAGAATGCTGCCTTAGCAACCATGGCCTATTTGGATGAAATGTGCCGCGTTTGTCTTAAAGCATGTTTTTTTTTTTAAAGCATGGATGATAAGGCAAAAATTCCTTTTGGAATTGGAAAAGCTAAATTTTGAAAAGGCAGGAACAACCCTAACAGAAATATGGTCCGAGTTAACGATTGACAATCAGGAAGTATTTGCTGAATATGTATATCCAAATAATATAGCAGTAACACTAGATCAAGCTTGTGCGAAGTGTGTGGCAACTCATGTTAGACAGGGACAGCACTTCTTGTAAATTATGAAGTGCTACTAACTTGCCTGTTGTCAACCACGGCACAGTTCATGGAAAACTAATTTCCCACAATTTTTTCTTCCAGGTTTAGTGGTACAATATCATTCAAATAAAGGGTTATGTATTTCGGAAACAAGCATGGTATCCTTAAATACTAAATTGTATTTTGCTTCTCTTGCACAACAAGTAGCATTCACAACAGCCAAGGTGCCACTGGAATCTCTATTTGACATGTATTGTCCATCAGTAACCAAAAATGAGATTCAATACTGACACCGACACATTCATGCAGGTGCACATGCTTTTGCCACATCCGATACTAAAGCTGACAAAGGGGACGATGATGATTCTGATGCCATTTGCTGATAATCTGGAAAGAGAGATGCCATTTATTTGAAGCTTGTTCAAGTGGCCACAAACTGAATTCAAGAGAGAGCCAGAGGGAAACTAAACTGAATATTAACTGAAAATTCAAGTACAGTTTTTGCACCAAAAAAAAAGCGATGAAATAAGAAAATGTAGTTTGTTACAAAGCAAAAGTGTAGAATTTTTGATATAATGATTAAATGTTTTTCATTAACTTATTAAATAATTGTTAATATGTAAAGTTTATGAAGAAAAAAAACTTAAAACCGGTTTTGGATACAATTTTTGGTAGCAAATGTCCTTTTTTTACACTTTTTTTTTTTTTTTGAAAAGACAACAATGAAAAATTTGTGCTCTATTTTGCCTTTATCTCTTATACATATTTTGAAGACTATACATATATCCTTTCATAAAATTATTTATCTAGCTGCTAGTATTTGCTACTTTTTTTAATACCTGTTGTAAAATGATAAATGTTTGAAATAACAAGTGTATGTATATATATATATATATATATATATATATATATATATATATATATATATATATATATATATTAGTGATGTGCTGGGTAACCGGTTCGGACCCGGGGACCCGGCAATTCGGCTGTTTTACCGGGTAGCCGGTATCGGCCATTTTGTTGCAGTACCAGGCACCGGGTATCTTCAAATTGATTTTTTTTTTAGTTTAAACTTTAACCATTAAACTTTTTGATATAAGTCTAAGAGTGTTATGTAGTTGATAACTACAAAGTCCTATTAACTTAAAACAATCTCACTTAAAATATTTTTTAATACATTTTTGCAAAAAAATTTATACGGATACAAAAACTGTAACGCTAAATGAAATAATTCTAGAATACAAATAAAAAGAATGGGAAAAAAAGTTTTAGAATAGCTTCTTTTTATTATGTTAAAACACAAGATAATTTTTAGCAATTTAG